TACATTATTAGCGCAGCGGCAGACGTTCAAACTAATATCACGTAATTTACGTTTCATTGATGATTGGTTGATATCAGAAGGGAGGCTAGCCTCCCTTGCCAGGTTTCTTTTCTCAACACTCCTCAGCGCTGAAAGTGAACACTCGATGGTGATTGGCTAATTTTTTTTGCCAACGGAGGCACGAGAGCTCAGCTCTCCCCTGGCCTCCCCCTCCCCTTCTCTATCACCTAGCGGTTGTAATTACATCAGCAGATTCGGCACATTCGCAATAGAAAAGTGGCGCTTTCCAACATCATTAACATGTTATGGTATTACATCTGTGAAATTACAAACAAAAAATACACATTCTGAGACATGATCTGAAATGAATTGTGAATTTTATTAACATTAAATCGTCCTCCTCCCATTTTCACCTCAAAATTTTGGGGAAGCTGTGCCTCCCCTACCTCCCCCGACGAGCCGCCACTGGTCACAATTACCTTTTTATTCAGTGACAGAAACTGGCTTTGGTACTTCCACACATTTCTGATGGACAAAAAAAAAAATAGATGTGACCCATGAGAGTACGATATGAGAAGAACAAATTTCTGTTAAAATCGCTCGTTAGTTGAAATTCTTGTGCAAATTTGTAAACATTTTGAGTTCTATATCTCTGTGAGCGGGTTGTACTTCTGTCCCTCCCAGCCTTGTTTGTGTCAAGTTAACTATGACATCTGACTAAGGACCTTAAGCTAGCTTTGGAAACTACTATAACTAACCACTTAGACAAGTATTTTTATCATGCCAATTAGTGCTGGGCGGTATACCGGTTCATACCGAATACCGGTGTTTATTTTTGTTATGATATGAATTTTTAAAATACCGCAATACCGGTGTGTGTCGCTTAAGCAACGTTCGGAACGCGACACTGTTTGAAAGGGGTTCCTTTTCACTGTTGCACTGTTGTCCGAAACTGAAGCTGTAGAACTAATAGAGCGTGATGACACAGAAGAACTCATCCACAATATCCACATTGACCGCCACAATTATCCACCGCCATAAATATCCACCGCCCCCTGCCATCAGCTCCCGCGTATCACACAGACACACATACACACGAGCGCGACTTTAGCACTATATTTAGCAACTTTCAGACTCTTTTAGCGGCTTTTTTCCATAGAATATTCATACTGACAAACCTAGCGACTTTTTTGGATAAGCCTTAGCTATGGTTCAGTTGGAGGATTTCGCCAGTGCTGTCCCACGAACCCGAGGTCTGACTTTCCCGGAGAAGTGTCACCCCTCTCGGCGTCTGTTCTGTGCAGTGAGCGGCAGAGAAGCAGTGCATTCAGTTAGCCGCACCGCAGCCGACTCCTCAATAAATTAGTACAAAACAGCGTTTCCTAGCACCTGTCGCTTACTAATGATATAAATTTTTGGTCATACCGCCCAGCACTAATGCCAATTATATTATTTTATCATGCCAATTATAGCTTTCCAGTTCAAAGATTCAGTTTGGCGTGGCCTTTTTATTGAATAATTCACACATTATTTGAAGTCTGTGCTTTCTCTTTGAAAGAAATCACATTTGTGCTGGGCCTAGATGACACAGTTGCTTTTTCTGGGCTGTCAGCTTCTTGGCTGCTTGTCAGATGAAGTGTGTCCAGTGTGTGCCGTTGAGTAACATAACAGCTAGTCATTAACCTTTTGTGGCATTTAGCGAGTTCATTGACTTACATGTGATCCAGATATCTTATTCAGTGTAAAGGGTCTGTTTTGAATATGTCAGATAACACACAATTTTTGATTTGGGATAACAGAATGGTATGAGCAGAATGTTTTTTTGGGCATGGTATCATGATAAGTCTTTTGCTGTTCTTTTTGAAGTCTCTTGGAGTACAATGTAAATGCTATAGGGATGTGCCAAACGACTTTTCAAAATCAACTAGTTGCTGAGTTCCAAGGTCACAAGGTAGACCCATATAATTAGGCTTGTTTTGAGTTCATCTGATCCTGATCAGGTGCATTTCACATTGTTCCACAACGAAGCACAACTAATTTTAAAAAGCTAAAAGGTTAATTCACCAAAACTGAACTATCATGTCACTCCAAAGCTACTTTTAATTCAGATTTGAAATAAATTGTCTGAGAGATGTCTGTTCCCCCATTGAAAGCCCATTCCCCTAAAATGCTTCAGACATTTCAAAATGTTCATAACGAGATGCATTAGAAATCCCTATTAACCCAGCATTTTTTTCCAGGTCTTCTGAAGAGACATGTTCACTTTATATGATGAACTTATTTAATTTAGGGTGTTATTCACATATAAACATTGATCAGCGCACATAGATAGAGTGCATCAAATGGTAAACAGAAGCTCAAATGCACTTTCTTGACATGCAAGAACTAATCAGGTTTATTCTTGTGTGTCACGTAAGCTTGTTTGAGCTACCGCTTGAACCAGTGAGGTTTGTTCTCTCAAGTACGGCTGAGCTCCTCTTCTGACATACTACTCGCCTCACATACTGTTTTTCGCCTGCTATATAGTAGGGAAGTATGCGATTTCGGATGCAGCATTGGATTAAACTGCTTGATTCATATGGATTTCTTTTTACAGTCTATTTATGATTTCTTTTTTTTTTTTAGTGTGAAAGTTTTGGTAGAATGGACTTTCAAGGGACAAAAACCTCTCAGGATATTATAAAACATTTTTTCATTAAAAATATCTGTGTTTCGAAATTGAACAAAAGTCTTATGGGTTTGGTATAACTGTAGCTGTAGTGCTTGAATTGAGAAACACAACAGTGCAAATCATAGTATGTTGTCAGTTTGCTAATTAACAATTTAAATATCCCAAAAAACCAAAGCTAGGACAACCGACTTATCCTTAGTAAAGACCATAGTACATGAAAATGTTAATCAGCCATTTGATACCATCAGTGTATCGTGATTCTGTTACAGTCGGCTACTTTTTTTTGCAAAGGCAGCTGCAGAGGATTCTGCCAAATTGTGTGAGTTCATGAAAATGTGAGACGCTAAAATGGCTCCTTTTAGTAAACACTTTCAGCTCACCACAGCGTGCTCCATCAAGTTTTCAAAACAGATATGTCGCATTTTCCCCGTCCTTGCAAAAGAATGAAGGACTGTGGGAGAGAATGGGAGGAGAGGCTGGTGATCCCGCAGCCAGAGTCTGTAATTTGACCATAATTAGGGAGAAAAATCTGTGCTTGCTGAATCAGAGAAGGAACTGCCAGCATCAGCATCTTTCAGCAAACGCACCACAGGCTCAAACTGATCGCGTTTCGTGTGGAATCTCTCATATCTTTTAATCTTTACAGTAATCTCTTAGGGTATGAATTATTTGTAGTGTAATGGAAGACCAGCTCCTGCTGTTTCGTGTGATGTGCATTTAAAAGCCCATCCACATCTGCCAAATGCATTTGACTTGATCCCAGCAATTGATGGTTTGATTATCGGCCTTGAATTTTGTATGTGGCTGCATGTTATCTGATTTCCCCAGGGGTTTCTCTTTGCCTGGAGAAGAAGGACAATGTTGCCATAAAGCCAAAGCCAAGGGTTTTGAATTTCTCTTATTTTCGGGCTGGGAAACTTAGCCCTCATCCACCCCACAGAGCAGAAATTTTGTAAAGCGGCTGATACACACAGTGGAGAGGGCGATGGAGAAATCAATGGAAAACAGAAAAGGCT